ATGACAGTATCTAGTCGTCCGATGATGAAAAAGTTAACTATCTTTTCCAAATTCATACAACAAATAGTAAAAAACTTACATAACCGGCGTAAAAGAGCGACGCTGCCCAGTTATTCACATCTTTTGCCAAAATAACGTCGTCTCGGAAAGTGGTATACGGGATATGACCTATGATTTATTAAAATATGTAAAAGATTTTTTAGTACCTACCAGAGTAAGACTTATGGCGACTTGAAAACCAAATCTGCTGATTTCAAGTAAAATCAGAAATGGAATTAGCCGCCGATCGAGCTTCCAAATTATTCGAGAAATCGCACATTTATTGTACGTCGCCATCTCGTCCTGTATCACTACTGTCGACGGTGATACTTCAGTCATTCTTGCCGTTTATTCGTAATCAGTTTTTGATAAATTTGGGTCTATCGTATGGTAGCACGATACTTACGCAAGTCTTTTGAAGCGCCTTAGACATATATAACAGTGTAAAATGTAATTAATTATGTTGGAAAAAGAAAATGCGCAAAAAATGATGTGCATCATAGATTCTTAATTACTTTCAATAGTATGTGCATATGTGCATATGTGCATATGTGCCTTCTCATACAGCATCACAAACATGTGCCGGTAGTGTGTCTCCTTTTTTTTCGTCGTTCTGGCTCCATCGATTTCTTATTTATAGCTATGGGGTGTGAGTGTGGATGTGGGTGGGTGTGGGGTGTGGGGTGTGGGGTTTGGGGTGTGGGGTGTGGAGTGTGGGTGTGGGTGTGGGTGTGGGTGTGGGTGTGGGTGTGGGTGTGGGTGTGGGTGGTGAGGGTGTCGGTGTGGGCTGTGGAAGTGGGTGGTGAGGGTGTGGGTGTGGGTGTGGATCCATTTGAATAAGAGACAAACCCCACACCCACCCCCACCCACACTCACACCCTTACCCCCACACCCACACCCTTACTCCCACACCCACACACACACCCTTACCCCCACACCCACACACACACCCTTACCCCCACACCCACACCCTTACCCCCACCCCCACACACACAGCCACATTCACACTCACACCCACACCCACACCCACACACACACCGACAACCACATTCACACTCACACCCACACCCTCACCCACACTCACACCCTCACCCCCACACCCACACACCCACCCCCCCACACCCACACCCTTACCCACACACCCACACCCTTACCCCCACACCCACACACACACCCTTACCCCCACCCACACACACAGCCACATTCACAGCCACATTCACACTCACACCCACACCCACACCCTTATTCAAGAAATCGCACATTTATTGTACGTCCATATCTCGTCCTGTATCACTACTTTCGACGGTGATCCTTCACTCATTCTTGCCGTTTATTTGTAATCAGTTTTTGATAAATTTGGGTCTATCGTATGGTAGCACGATACTTACGCAAGTTTTTTAAAGCGCCTTAGACGTGTATAACAGTGTAAAATGTAAATATTTATGTTAGAAAAAACAAAATACCCAAAAAATGATGTGCGTCATAGATTCTTAACTACTTTCAATAGTATGTACACACGTGTCCTTTCATACAGCACCAAGAACATATACTGGTAGTGCGTCACCTTTTTTTCGTCGTTCTGGCTCCTTCGATTTCGTATTTATG